TTTAATGTTCATACATAGCACCTGGGCACCTTATTTAAATGTAATTACGATTCTCTAGGTCTGGAGTGAAATCTTTGGGTCTGCATCCCTGACAATGCCATCAGTCCATAAATAGTTTCCATAGTAAGGAACCAGAACACCCAAGGAACAAATGGAACTTTTAAACATATGGATTTCAGGATCCTACTTCAGATCCTGTGAATCATTAGTTCTGGAAGAACTCGGGAGTACATATTTTAGAATACCTCCCAGTTATTATGCTAAAGTTAGTTCATAGAGAAGGTGGGTGTGTGGCTCATTTCTAAAGACAGTCACTCATTGTCAGTGGTGTTCTGCTAGGGGCAGCCAAGAAGCCTACCTGGAGTGGGCCTGCCTGTCTCGCTCTTTGTAGGAATTAGCTCCATGTCTTATGTAGCATGCATTTGGGTGTCAGGTTTGTGCATTCCATTGTAACTCAGAAGCCAGGTTGGTATTGCTACTCTGTGTACTGTGAGCCATGGTGGATTTTAGAAGCAAGGTATTAATTTTCCATAATTCAATGAAAATTTGCTCAAATAAATATATTGCCAACTGCATATTATCTAACTCTGTCAATGAGTTTATCTAGTCACACAGTCAACAAGCCTATTATTGAAACAGTTGTGATTTTGTAATTTCATTTCCTCCACATATAACTTCTTAGGTAGAAAATCACATAGGTGATACCGCAGCTGTCTGTTCAAAGGAGACAGATTAATTATATTTGCATGAGGTCCAGGTTGGGCTCTGATTATGAAATATACTGAGCAAATACCCACATGGGTTCACTAAGTAAGGTTTTCATGGAAACTGACAAATTGTGAATTGGCAAGGAGGTCAGTGTCCTTTGGGATGTCTGGTGCATGCAAATAGCAATGTGTGACAGCACAAAACATGTCAGTTTGTCCTCTGGTGAGGTCAGACCCAGCAACTAATATATGCAACCTGCCACTCAGAAACATGCTTGTGCTACTGATATAAATATATGTATCTACATATGCTTGTATTTGAGAGCAGTAAAATCCTGGCTTTTGAGTTTTAATAAGGCATACCTAATTTCCACATAAAAATTGAAGGTTAACCATGCTAGCATGTGGTGGGCAATTTCCATCTCCTGTGCAAATTTGCTTTCCACAGACGTTGCTTTCCAACAGGTTTATGAGAAGCCCATGTAACTGTGGTGTGTAGGATAGTTAATGAACAATCCTCTGATTAATTGATTAACAGCGGCTTTGTAATGAGCAAATCAGGGCCTCTTATGAGAATGTCCTACACTACATTCTGACTGTCAGATTTTTTTTTCCTGTTATCAGAGTTAGACTTTGTACTGCAAAAGGCAGTGTGACCTGGCTCCCTATGGTAATTTCTTTATGGTGAATCGAACCTTGGTTTCTCTTAGATGTTTTGTGTATTATAATCCCTATTATGACAACCTGCTGAGGTAGTGGGTTATATAAATGCACAGTACAGCTGTCCAGGAATGATTACAAGATGAATAATTTTACTTCCTGGCAAAAGATAAGAGTTTTCTCCATTTTCTTTCCTCCTGAACATCTTGCTTCTTTTTCCTGGGCTCCACTGGAGGAGGCTTCCTTTCTTCTTAGCCTCAGGCACAAGTAATTATTCACATCACTGTTAAAGAAGAACTATGAGTTAAGGTTCAAGACCAAAATGATACCGATGAGCATCACTCAGCTTTCCTTTTGGAGTCCTTTCAAGTTTTATTTTTCTCCCCACGGCAGCTGCCCTGCGTCTGTGGTTTCACCAGGTCACACCGCATTTCCTCTTCAATGGTTACCATTTACAATCAGGCTGCTGATCTCTCAGCATTTCCTTCTTTCCCAACCTCTGCTGCCTTGCTTCCTTCTCAGCACTACTCTCTCTATTTTCCTTGATTCTTTTTCCTCTTCCTTCTTTCCAGATTTCTAATAGAGTCGGGAGCCTGGCTCCTGCAGGGTCAAATGCATAATGTAATGGCTTACCTCCTGTTTGATTTCAGCCCTGGTCCCTGGGGAGATCCAGCGTTATTGTTGTGGCCCAGGCTTGTAGCACCACAGGCTAATGGATCAATTCAGCCTTCAAAGCATCCTATGGCTGTCGATATGAAATTCTAGCAATTACTGAAGTGGGAAGGCTGGGAAACGGCTGAAAAACATTCCCTATTGATTGGCTCGTTGCTCTAGAGTATGATGAACTTGTTTAAGAAAAATTGATCTGACAAATTGATTTTTTTTAATCAGAGAATCTCATGAATGCAATTTAAGTCACAATATTTCTTGCCTTGCAGAGTTGTCCCCCTGCTCCCGCAATGAGAACCTGTGCGACAGCCAGCCAATGAGAGAGGCTGGGAGAATTCTGAAGCTTCCCAGGCCTTTCTTATTCTGTCATCTAAGAAAATGTTTGTGTTAAACTGGTTTTTAAAGGTAAGGTCTCCTTGCCTCTGTGTTTTATGTCCTTCAATCTCCTCGTAAATCTTCACCAATTCTCCCTTCTCTCAGTTCCTTGTTCCCTCTTCAACTCCAAATTTGAGGTTTTCAGTTGAGGTACAGGCCTTTTGATACAGCATACACCACCTCATTTATTGCATGAAGGACTGGTTTTGGAAATCAAGCATCTTAATTATGGCCAAAGGTAGCCCAGTCTCTTGACATTTCTAGGAATGATTTGGGTGGTAGTGGTGACAAAATGTAGACACCAGGGTCACTTACTCCAAGCAGTGACAAATCTGTAGCATGGACCTGGTCAGCTCTTCTGTTGGGATTGAGGAAGTGAAAAAAAATCTTGCCAACTTCCAAATACCTCCCCTGCACAAATCTCTTACTGGGCAACCCTTTTCCTTCTCTCTAATCTTATCCACCTTTACTTATGGCCCAAGTCATGGAATTCCAAATATAGGTGATCAGAAGCATTACTTCAGGGGTTTCCCAAAATGCACATTATTGGGCCTTATTTCAAGAATGTTGATTGAGAATCAAAGAATGGAGCTTAGAAAATTGTAATTTGAAAGCTCCCTTGTTGAATTCAATGACCAGCTATAGTTGACATAAAATGATATTACATAATTTTAACTGGATTATATTACAAAGTTGTGTGTGTGTGTGTGTGTGTGAGAGAGAGAGAGAGAGAGAGAGAGAGAGAGAGAGAGAGAGAGAGAGAGAGAGAGAGAATTAGAAGAATGGGAGGAGAAAATTGCCTAAACCTGGGTGTGACGGCACATGCCTGTAATCCCAGTGGCTCAGGAGGCTGAGGCAGGAGGAATGCAAGTTCAAAGCTAGCCTCAGCAATTTAGTGAGGCCCTAAGCAACTTAGTGAGACCCTGTCCCAAAACAAAAATTTTTTAAAAAAGGACTGGAGATGTGTCTCAGTGGTTAAGCACCCCTGGGTTCAATCCCTCACACACACACACACACACACACACACACACACACACACACAAAGCCCCAAAACACAATTGACAATTTATCTTTTAAAAATCTTTCTCTTTTTCCTGTAAAAGCAGGAAAAAAATAAACAGATGAAACTGAACAAAACAAATGAAAATTTTTCCTCTATTATCCTAGGTTTTGTGTCTGAGGCACTAGAAATTAAGTAAACAAAAGACAGATTAACAAGAGAAAACCAGAGTTTATGAACACATATGGTGTATACATAGGTGGGAGAAACTCGGTGATGAGAAACTGAAAGGGGTGGTTATAACTTGGGTATTATGTAGCATCTTAGCAAAGAACAATAAGTTTATAGAGAAGTGGCATGACAAAGGAAAAGGGGTTGAGACTTTTAGTGGTGGCAAACTGTGAGAAGGTAAATATATGGGGGAATGAATGGAAGACAAGGGTTATTTTAGTAAGGTTTCATGTGATGCCATCTCTGGAAGGATAATAGTCTACCATGTTAAGAATCTTAGGGAGTTGTCCTCTTCTCTCTGGGCTGGGAGAGGGAAGTACTTTTAAAAGTGGAAATATTTGTCCTGCTTGTAGGTAAATTGGAGGAGTGAAAAGAGCTTTTTCTGGCATCTTCTGTTTATCAATTGTCATCAGCTCAAAATAACTCTCTGTTACAGTGGCACATTTTGGGGTAGCATGTTCTGATCCCCTAGAGCATCTTAAATTTGGATGTGCTTGTACAAAAAATTGGTTGATGAGATGATACTTAACTATCCCATCTTAGGAGATAAAGGACAGTACAATTTCAAGAGAGGGATGTACTGAGGGTAGAGGAGAGCACAGAAACACATCTGGCACTTCAGAATTGGGTCCAGGAGGAGACTCCCAGAGAGGCTTCAAGTCTATAACTCAAAGGAAAAAAGAACATATGGGATCCAAAGTTCTGAAGCCTTGCTCTTACAAAATCCTACATGCGGCTCCTCTGACATGCATGAAAAGCACTGGTTTCTTTGCAGCCTAATATGTTGTGTGGAAGTGGAGACCCATACCTGGACTTTTGAACCAGACTTCAGAATCTGTATCTTTCATAATGTTGCCAAGCCTCACAGAGAATGTTCTAAAGTGATTGAACCACAAGGGAAATGCAGGTTGCCTATTTCAGAATACATCTAGGAAATCGGCTCCCAGATGATTTTCCATCCCATTATCTCAAAGACCTGCTTCCAAGGGTGAAATTTGAATCAACCTTGCTTGGTGAGTTTGAATAAGCTGAGATGGGTAAAATGAATCTTCTGCAAGTCATTTAGATTGGCGATGTCCCAGGGAGTTGGACAATAATCTAAATTTTAATGCAATCTATTATATTCAACTTTTAACTACTTAATCCTTCCCTGTTGTCACCTTTCAGTCTGAACTCCTACAATGTAGACTTCACAATTTGTCACAGTACTTTCTAGTCTTGACTGCACTTTTGCATTACCTGGAGAGCTTTTTGAGTACTCTGGCCTGGACCCACCTCCAGAATTTTGACTTAATTGCTCTGAGGCTAGTCTGGGCATTGCTATCAAGCTTCCCTGATGATTCTAAACTGTGGCCAAATTTGAGAACCCCTGGTTTATTTAGATTTGAAGGTAGCAAATTGGAATGTTGCTAAAGTTCAAAATCTTCCTTTCAATTTTCTGCTGCGACACTTGTGGACTTCTGAATTCGACAATACATAGCAGAGAGGGAGGGGGTTCCTGTTTGCCAAATTTGTGATGAAAACAAAGACCTCCTGTTTCAAGTACTTCTCAGATAGCATGTGGGCTCTCTTCATTGCTCGGCTCTGCTTTCAGCAAAATTGTTAATTATAGATCATAATAAGCTGTTAGGAGGAAAACACACACATAATTTGAAAGTGAAATGAGGCACAGTACATAGATAAAGCAATTGTTTGTTTAAGAGGTGATTAGCAGCCGCAAAACAAGCAAACTGATACTTGAACCTGAAAGAAATTACACCCATTTGGAATTGTTAGACTCTTCGGTTATTTGTGCATTGGAGCCTAGTGCAAAGGTAACCGTCTGTCAGTGTTCTTTTCTTCTGTGTGTGACGCTGGGAAAGTAGAGTCTATGCCATCCTAGAACTAGGATGATATTAAAAGAATAGCCTGTCAGAAGGAATAAAGAAAGGGAAGTGTCTCGGTTTCTCAAAGGAGCACAACTGAGATTTAAATTGTTCTGAGCTATGATAAATTATAAGGCTTTAAAACCACTGTAATCACTGAATGAACAAAACAGTTTGCCTTGGGTAATTATGCCTTTTTGGTCTCCTTCACTTTCAAGTTATTTTCCCCTTGTAAATGTTACGCTCTGGCACTGTGTGCTGTGTCAAAGAGTGTTAATCTCAGTGTGAAACGCTGGGGTTGTCTTTAAGGGTAAGTGAGCCCAGAAATATTCGCAGTTCAGACCAAGTTAGATGAAAACACCATTAGCACTTGAACGTGACATCTGGTGATGCTAGTTTCTACCTGGGGTGCAGTGGAGCTGGGACTTCATCCACTGATTCCCATGAGGGTTTTACTTGAGTGAACAATCTTGCAGGCTCAGCCTCAGCACTGAAAATTCCCAGGATGGAAACTTCATGTGGAATAGATGCCAGTTAATGAACATGGGCACACTGGCTAAGGATAAATACCGTGTTATTAGGCAAGATTATAGCACTCAAGATGGGAGGTTTAATAAGCAACTGAGGTTAACAGGAAATGCTTGGGTTTTGTTGTCTGATAATGCATTCAGATTCTGCAGCCTGCCACTTGCTAAAGCTGAGGAACGACCTAATTGGTACTTACCAGTGGCAATGCAGTTAAGAGCACAGGTTCCCATCCCAAGCACCCTATCTAATTCCAAAGTTGGCAGCAGAACCTAAATCTGCTCAATGCGGCTCATGTGGGAGGTATTATCTTTGGAAAGTTCCAAGATGAGAGCTTCTAATTGGTGTCTTGAGTGGAAAAGTGGAACCAACAGGAAATTTTGGTATCACCACCACCAACTTCCAATTTCCTGGATCATGTGGGTTAGTGTTCCATCTGCTTACGGGCGGAGCTTGAACTTCCAGTGTCCTTGGAGATAACAAATTTTATGTGATTTGGTGCATGGAAAATCATATTAATGATAAGAGCTTACATACTTTGTGAATATTTTGTGCCAGACCTCATTCTCTGTACCTGTATCACCTCCTTGAACCTTGACACTGCCAACGTGGAAGGCACTTTCTCTTTCTTTCTCTCTCCATGTTACAAAAGAGGAAAAGGAGGCGGGAGTGGTTGGCCAACTTGCCCAAGGACAAAAATCATGGAAATGGATTGGACCAAGGCAATTTGACTCCTGAAAACTCATAATGAATCCCCAAATCACACTGCTGCAAAGACTCAGATCCTCTTGTCCCTCTGTGCTTCCCAAATCCCCAGAGTGGCATTCAGACTTGATTTGCCCCCTACTCAATCTTGGCCTGAAGTCTCCTCACAACCCCAGGACTAAGAGCAAATAGCCACACAGTCTCTCTTCTTTCCTCTCAGGAGGGACTCCCATGTCCTTGCTTCAGTAAGTCCGTCTTTATCTGACCTTTTGCCTTCCTATACTTCGGTTTGTAAAATGCTGGGATTTATGAAGTTGTTCTGGAGAGAAGTCCTTAAGGGAGAACCTAGAAACGGGGCACCTCGTAACTTCTTTAGATGACATCATAATGCATCCTAGCTCAAGGACTGCACATGAGCCTCCTGCTAGTTGTAAACAATACAACAGACCAGGGGATTTTAAAATCCAAGTGAGATTGCAGATGGAGCTGCAAATGTATAACCCAAAACTCAGAGAGATGAAGTATGATAGAGATGCATGCAAGAATTAGAGAGGGCAACAATCCTATACACATAATGGGATGTTTGGATTGGTGAGGCAATGAAATTATTAGTCTGTGCTCTTTAATGCAGCCTAAATGGCCATATCCAGAATTACATGCATCATGGACTTCTCTGAGATTGATAAGTCTGGTGGGCCAATTTTTTAAAAAAATTATTCCTTCTGGGGTCGCTTCTTTATGTAGTTTGCTGAGCATGCTCAGCAATCCTTGCTGCTGTCAACCAATCTTTGTTGTTGCTCTTGCTCCCGAATGTGTCATGGCCTCGCTTGCATATAAGACCAGCTCCTTCCTGGTTTCCTCTCTTAAGCCCCCTTTTGTGTTATTTTGAATCTAACTTCACTTCCTCCCGCTTCTTCCAGTTACTAATGAGCCACTCTGGGCTAGAGCCTGTGACATCTCAGGGCCTCTGGGAGCAGCAGAAAAAACTGTAGGTCTGTCCATAGAGGAGTCCCATGGTGCTGACCATTTATCTGGTGACCTTGTGGGCCCAATAAACAAAGTGAATCTGTCCGACTCTCCCTCCCTCTGTGGCTTTTGGGCCTGTGTGCATGCATTTCCCAGGACAGTTGGAGGAGACACCAAACTTGTCTTCATTACAGCTCTGACTCATAACCCAATTAATGGTGTCAAGAAGTGAAACATGGTCCCCAGGCCCAGCTGCCTTTTGAAAGCAAGTCCCAGCCTGTTCAGAGCAGTAACGGATGGTGCTCCAGAGAGAACGACTCAGAATCTGTTTTGCTGGCCAAAAGTGAAGGGGGGTTTCAGAAAGGTGATGTGCAGTGTTGATTCTCAGTTTTAAGGCGTGATTACAGTTTGTCTCCAAACTGAGTGAAAGGGAGGATGGAAGGGAAAGGATTTGATGTGACCCCTTACTTCTTCTTCTTCTTCTTTTTTTTTTAGAGAGAGAGAGAGAGAGAGAGAGAGAGAGAGAGAGAGAGAATTTTTATTATTTATTTATTTTTTTAGTTTTCAGCGGACACAACATCTTTATTTGTATGTGGTGCTGAGGATCGAACCCAGGCCGCACGCATGCCAGGCGAGCTCGCTACCGCTTGAGCCACATCTCCAGCCTGACCCCTTACTTCTTATTGAATCTGCTACCTCTTCCCTGGACTTCTCTACTTTAAGGCGAGCAGTCTGTTACCCCATGCACTGCCTCTTTGTTCACATTGACTGAACTTCTCTCTATTCCCCCCAGGGCCTGTACACGGGTCCCTTAACAGATGCCTTTCCTTACAACACTGTGACTGGTTTGTGGGTGAAAGGACAACACCATGTGCCCATTTTTCAACATGCATTACAGATATTACTGTATTTCGCAAATTCAGACCTATTCATTTTTTGTAAAGGGGCGTGCTAGAAAGGGCTTTCAGCCAGACTGGAGCAAACTGTTCCTTCAAATACCCGAATGAATGCACAACTTTTTAAAAACAGGCTGACTGTGACTACTCGGTCTCAGTCATGATTCCTCTTTCTAAAAATCTATTTCTTTCTTTCTGGAAGAAAATCAGACCCTTTTACTAATCCCCTTTAACAACACTAACAGGAGCAACTGTTTGCTGAGCTGGTGTCAGATGCTGTGCAGAACACTGTTTTTATTGTCCCTAATCCTCACAGCGATCCTTCCAGGAGGAAGTCAGGTCCCCGTTTTTCAAGTGAGCACTGTTTGGAAGAAAGGCAGGAGAAGCAAGCAACGTGAACGTGCTACACCTTGGAGGGGAGACGGGAGCTCCAGGTTCCTGCAGTTAATATCGTTCTTGTTGCTTTCTGACCCCCTACAAGTTGCCTTGCAATCTTGATTATCTCACGTGGTCTTCATATTATGTCTCTAGGAAAGAAGGTAGCTCTCCAGGAGAGTGGATCTCCCAGGGAGAGGTTCAGAGGGGAGAGACAGACCTCTGCGGCAGCCCCAGACACCTGTGGCATCTCCCATCTCCCTCAGTGGCCTCTCCCCAGGCGTGGACCAAACCCAGCTTGCCTGGTTTGCAGGATCCTGACAAGATGACAGCTTGTGGTGCCTAGGGAGGCAGTTGGATACCCAGCCCCCAGCTTTCCCCAGGGATCTTTCTTCTGTTGCAGCCAAATGCTGCTCAGTTAAGAGCTCAGGAAACAAAACAGCCTTTGTTGCTTAAACTGAAATCATTCCCATGGCTGATTATCCCAGAGGTCTAGTTGTTAACAATACTTTCTCCTCCTCCTTCTCTTCTCCCTGAGCCTCCTCCCCAATCTCTCCTCCCCTTCGCCCCTTCTCCTCCCACTCCCCTGCCCTTTATGATTCTTAAACATTATACTCCTGAAGCATGACAAACCTAACAGGATCTTGCCAAAGCCAGAGGCCCTGGGGAGTTAGTACAAAAACTACAGCAAGAGCCAAACCCATTTGGATGAGTTTGGGTTTCATGGGAACAGTTTGGCGCATCAAGACGGCAGGAGGAGGGGAGAAAGAGGAGGAGGCTGCCCCACAGATTGTCTCCTGGGACGGGTGCCAATAGAGTGGGGCCATTACATGAGATTAGGAATTCTTAACCTATTTTGGATCATGGATATCTTTGAGAATTTGAAGAACACACATCACAAGATTTAGGCTCATGATTGGATTTTTTTTTTTTTCCTGAGTGCTAAGAGCAAAGGCTGGTATTCTGTATACTTCCTGCTTCTTCCTACTGGCTTTATTTCTCTTAGTTATAATCCCAGTAGACAGACATCTTTAGGAGATATGCCTATGCCATTTACTGTCTCCCCTGGGATGCTTTTGAGAATGACAGAGGCACTGCCAAGTAGCTGTACAACTGCCATCAAATAAGATAGTGCAAGGCAACCTAGGGAATAGGGTCTCTCTGTTCTGATCCTATATTTGGTGGTGATAAGACCTAGGACTGGGAAGTGGGTTTTATAGGAACTATTTAGAATCTCTGGGTGACTCCTGTCTTACCCAACTATAAAAATTAAAGAATTAGACTCAATCTT